AAGAAACTAGACGCAAGGACCATCGGTTGCTATTTTATTGGATATTTTGAAAGATCCAGGGGTTACAAGTTTTATGATCCTACAACTAAGGCAATTTTCGAGACAAAAATGCTCGGTTCTTTGAGAATATTGAGTTTGCGAGGGCAGAAAGGGTTACAAGCTTTATCTTTGAGGAGGAATATGTTGAAATTCCTCCAATTGCCATTGACAATGATCAGGTTTCTATCCCTGACATTGTTCAAGAAGCAACTTTGGATCAAGACAATGTCGTATCTCCCTATTAAGATCAACAAGTTTTTCCAGAAGAACAAACTCTACAGCCTCAATAACCAATGCCATTAAGAAGATCTACTATAGAGAGGAGAAGTGCGGTTTTGGATGATTAAATCGTATTTCTCCAAGAACATGAAGTTAACATTAGAATGGTAGAAGATGATCCGATCAACTTTCATCAAGCCATGAAAAATCCTAACACTCAAAAGTGGATCGTTGCCATGAATGAAGCCATGAAGGACAATGACGTATGGGACCTCATTCCATTTTCTGAATGTGCAAAACCCATTTGTTGCAAATGGATATTTAAGATCAAGAAGGATTCGAAGGGTGATGTAGAGAGGTATAAGGCTCGTCTTATCGCAAAGGACTTTACACAGAATGAATGCTTCGATTATAAAAAGACTTTCTCTCTGGTTTTTTCGAAAGACTCTTTCAAGACTATAATGGCATTGGTAGTACATTTCGATCTTGAGTTACATCAGATGGATATTAAGACAGCATTTCTCAATGGTGACATTGAAGAAACAATTTATATGGTACAACCAAAAAATTTCGTATCAGATGATGTAAAGCAAATAGTTTGTAATTAAATAAATCCATCTATGGAGTGAAATAGGCGTCTCGTTAATGGTATTACAAGTTTCATCAAGTGATTATCTCATTTGGTTTTGAGATAAATTTGGTCGATGATTGTATATACCACAAGCTCGGTGAGCGTAAGTGTATTTTTCTGATTTTATATGTCGATAACATATTGCTTGCCAGCAACGATACAAGCTTATTGCATAAAATCAAGAGATTTTTAGTAAAGAATTTTGAGATGAGATATCTTGACGACGTTTCTTTTGTATTAGGAATTCAGATACACCGAGATCGTTCTCGAGGTATTATTAGATTATCACAAAAGAGTTATATCGAAAAGGTGCTTAAAAGATATGGTATGCAAGATTGTAAACCAGGTGACACCCCTATAACTAAAGGAGACAAGGTCAGTGCCCTAAAAGTGACTTGGAAAATTAAAGAAATGTAGAAGATTCCTTATTCTTCAGCTATAGAGAGTCTGATGTATGCTCAAGTTTGTATGCGTACGGATATAGCGTACATTGTTAAGATGCTAAGGAAATATTTAAATAACCCAGGAATGGATCATTGGATAGCAGCCAAACGGGTCATGCGATATTTACAGTGAACAAAAGACTACATGCTCACATACAGGAGATTAGATCAGTTGGAGATCGTCGGTTATTTAGATTCCGATTTCGTGGGATGCCAATATAGTAGAAGATCCACTTTAGGCTATATTTACCTGCTTGCTGGATGTGCTATTTTTCTAAAAGTGCGGAGCAGGCACTCACAGCTACTTCCACCATGGCTACGGAGTTTATAACGTGTAATGAGGTATCAAATTATAGAATATGGCCGTGTAATTTTGTCACTGGGCTACGCATTGTGGAAAATATAGAAAGATCGCTCAAAATATTTTGTGACAATAAATCAGTAATGCTGTATTCCAATAACAACAGGAGCTCAACGAAGTTAAAAGATATAGAGATCAAGTTCCTGGCTGTTAAAGAAAGAGTTTAGAGTGGACAAATATCAATAGAGCATATTGGGACAAACTCCATGGTTGCGGATCTGCTTATTAAGGGATTAACACCAAGGTCTTTCATGCTTATACTGCTCATATGAGTGTAATGTCTCTTAAGGATATCTAATTTCGGTGGGAGTTTGTATTTTTGTTTTTCATATTGGACACATGTACTGTTATTTTAGATATGATTTATGTTTAAAGTTATTTTCGGTTATAAGGTTTATTTGATTTATTATCTTTGAACTTGTTTAAAATGATCTCACTAAGATATTAAGGTGGACCAGTTGAAAATAGGCATTTTACAGAGCACATCATATGTAATTTTCATGCTACACATCCATACTTGATCCATGTCATTCAGTTATATTGATATACGTAACCATTAATGGGTTTAGTTACAATGAAAGTAATGAAAGTCTCTTTGATCCTATGTTGATATGATTGATGAACTGGGTTGTTTGGAGATGCATTGGGTAATGTTAGTAAAATTCTAAGTACTCATAAAGTTATTTTAATACACAATTAGAAGGTGACACGTATAGCCCAAGTGGGAGATTGTAAAGAATTTTAAATGATCGCGTGAGCTTATATGTGTAAATTGTTTTGTATTAAATTAAAGGTTATCAAATTTGGTTAAGCCCAGTTAAAGTGATCCAATAAGGCTTCGGTATTTTGGGCTTTAATGCATCGAATTAAAGTGTGCGTATTTTATGTGTAGAGACCGGGCCAAGTTCTTAATTCTATAATGGGCCGAATTAGATTAAGGGATGCCAATATATAAATATGGTTATGGTCCCCAAATCACACATACGTATTTTACTCATTTTGTTCTGTCTACCATCGCCAGAGAGAATTACGGGCTGCGTGTAGATTTGGAAGACTAAACCGCGAGATTCAACTATTGCATTAACCATGTCAGATTCAGGTACGCTTCCACTATAATTCTTGAATTTTTTGATGATCTAACATAAAAGATCCTGTGATTAAAGGTAATAAACTCTCCTACACTTACATGTCCACCTGCCAAACATTGATGAATCTCTGCCACTTTATCAATGAAAAACTTCATTCAATCTTCTCCCTATCTATTGAAACAATGAGAGGAAGCTACCAAACCAAATACTGTCATGCACCAGACACTGTGCTGAATACATTGCCCCAGAGTGACAGTATTCATCCGCAAAAATTGGATCAGGGAGGCAGCTCATTCTTTTTGTATCACATATTCAGCACTAGAGGAAGCTGACACATTTCCGATGAGAAAAGAGAAAGGACCAAACGTGTGTTGAAGCATGACAGAGAAATATATTTGATCTTAGTTATAAGAGATGTGGTAACGCAATTTCCAATTGGCATATGCGACTATCTGGATATGATAGATGAAATTGTTATTTAAAATTTCATTTTATGAAAAATAAGTTTTCTGCTGAACTTGGTCTGACTTAGCTACTTTTGTAATCTGGACTATTGCAGGTTCTAGAAGTACACTATTCGCAGCCACAGATCTCCAAGTTCCTGAATATTGTGACATGTTGAAAGCGGATGAATGGCCAGTTTGTGCCTACATTTCTCAAGATTGTCGTCCACAAATCCTTCTAAAGAATCGCATAATGTTGAAACATCGTATAGTGTGGAAAAAGACACTCGAAAAAGTTAAACGCAAATATAGAGCATCCCAATAGAGGTTGATCCCATGTGAGGTGGCATTATATTATAATGTCAATTAAGTGTCGCATATCCATACCTTTTATTGACTTACACATCGCATGAGGATCATCCCCAATTTGTATGTATAGCATTATTTATTCCAGTAGTTTACTTTTTATCCAATAGTAGAAACCCCTTAAATCTAATTAGTTTATGTCTGTCATAGCCTTTTGATGATATACTAATGACGACTCAAGCATGAATTTGCATAAGATATTGCATTGACACTTCCACATATATGTTCGGCATTCTTTTCAAGGTAACTTGCCTTGCCCTTTTCTTTAACTGCACTTCTTTTGGATATCTTCAAAGGCAAAAGGAGCATTCTTGAATTGTTTTTCATTGTGCAATTATTATAGATGGTCTTTTTTGTGGCATGAAGATTGAAATTAGCGTAACAGTTTTTATTTATTTAATTTTTTTGGGTATTACTTGCCTTAATTATGCTTTTGGTTCATAATATATACCTAGGCCTTGTTTAATTTGATGTTAGAATTCGTGAGGATTTTTTGGGCATATGTTATATTTTCCTACGTATCGACAAAGTTAAATCGTAGATAACCCATTTCTCCTAATATTTAAAAGAATCATATACAAAAAGAATCCTAAGTTTTACGTCATCATTTGCATTGTGTCACGTGACGACATCAGTCATCATTTACATTGTGTCACGTGACGACATCACATTGGATAGTTTTAAAAAGAAAAAAAAAAAAGAAAAATAAGAAACACACTGTTCCGCCAACACTTTTTTTTTTCAAAACAATGGAGTGTCAGCATCAACAATAATATCAAACTTTTAATGTACATCAAGCATTGTTGTATTTAAAATATGTTATCTACCGTATTATTCCATTGATATTACATAATTACTATTATTTAAAAATACCTACAGAATTTGCTACCATCATTGAATTTTTAATTTTGTGATTTTTTACTATGCCATGTTTGACAACCATTATTTGAAATTTTTTTTTCTATATATCCATTTTCAGCAAAACATCCACACAATAAAATATTCTAAACATATATCCAAAAAAAATTTCTATTTTAACCACACATTCTTCTAAAAATTACCATTCAAAACATTGTTTTCCCAATAATGACCATTAAAATTTTTTGAAAAGTTGTCAATGGATTAATACCCAGTTTGATGGTTACTTTTTGGCCAAAAAAAAAAAAAAAAAAAAAAAAAGAAAGAAATTGTATAGTGAATGTTTCAAGAATATGTGATTAAAAAGAAGGAAAAAATTTTGAATTTACGTATTGAATATTTTATTGCGTGAATCTATGATTGAAAATAAGTACGAAAAAAAATTGGATAATGGTTTTCAAGCAGGTGTTAATAAGATAGCAAAAATAAAAATTAAAAATCCAACAAAAAGGTTGATGTCTCAAGAGAAGTATAGTTGAGAAGTCACAAATGGTTCGACGACAAATGATGGTTTTAGTCCGCTGATAATTTTATTTGCCTAGGAAATGAGAAGTAAAATATTCATCAACATTCCAATGCTTATAGCCATGGACAATGTTTGTCGATGAAATTCTATCTTTGTAAACGCCGTTTTTAGCAGTGAAAAGTCTATATATATCTTCTTCTTGAAGAAAATCAAACCGTGCATGGAGAGCTTAATCTAAACAAAAAGGCACTCTTTTGGCATCTCAGAAAATCGAGCCGTATCATTGCAATAATCATACACCAAGAACTTGTTGCGAACCCAATTTAATTGCCTTTTCCTCTGCTGCTTCAACCCCTTCATGACAGGCTTATCCCACCAGAATTGCCTCAATTTTCCACATTTCACCAAGGGATTATCTACTTCATCTGGTGATAATTCACATGCATCAATATCAAACGACTGAAAAGTTGCAATAAAAGGGGAATAGCTCCAATTAGTTTTCACCCTTCCTCCTTGTGTAGCCCAATCATCAGCATTCCATAATGATCCATGAATTCCCATTGGTCGATTTTTCGGATATGGGACCCCTTTTTTCTCCTTGTTTGAAAATTCTCGAATCGGAATATCATCCACAAGAAATCTGGATAATCAGTATTAAGAAAATAACCAAGAAATATGATTAGCACAAATTTGTTGGCACTATATGGTTGATAAGATTTTGAATTTAATGAAAAAAAAAAAAAAGTAAGTGTTTTCAGTGGGTGCATCGTGCAGGAGAAGGGGATATAATATAAATGCAAGAAGAAAGTTGCTGAAAAAAGAGGGTTATTTACTCTTTTAACCATTTAACAAAAATCCAAAGACTGATACTTCTGCTTTCATGGATTGCATGTGAAGTTTGAGATAATGTACGGTTGCATAAAGAGATTAATATTAATCCTAAGATTGCCATACTTGAAATTTAACACATGAACAACTAAAATTTAAATGAGTGTTTCATTACAAGATGGAGCGTTGGTTCCAGAAGAAAGAGTAAGTGTGGAAGTCCATGGTCGGGTCGAACCATAGACTGTGCCTCTGCTCTCGATTTCCACTGCCGTTAATGTATATATTTGTCTGTACGAGGTATGGTTCTCCCGAAACATTGCCAAGAAACTCAAAGTCTAGCTCATCGTGGTTACTCCCCTCCGATGCCATCTGCATAAACATTAATTTTATCAACATATATTAAGAGACCATCTTTGGCACACTCGATTAATGAATTTGTGTGTCATGTCCATGCGTTGTCCAACCTAGTCTTGACCATTTCGTCGTACCAAACATGCTAATAAAGTTAAGATTCTTACGTAGAATGCAATAACGGTTCCAGCTGAATTGCCCTTAACTAGTTTGAGTTGAGTAGTGGCTTTCCCAAATAGATACTTTTTCTTGGACTCAAATCCACAACCTATGCAGATCAGAACTGTCAAATGAAAACAAATGGAAACCGAAATTGCGAAAATTGTGTAAAATTACTCACCGGTAGTGTTGTCAAGAGACAATGAAATTTGATCCCCTTGAATGACAATGTGATCAGGTGCCCAGTTTGGCTGGAAAATCTCACTGAAGTTTGCTGAATTCACTGCATGCACAAACAGAAGTAGAAGCATAGCCAGGATGAATAATACCAATAGCATTGTCATTGTCATTGATGATTTTGATAGCCAATTCATTTGAACAAAATGAACCTACTTATAACCCTTCAATTAATTTCCATCAGAAAGAACATAAATCTAACAGGAAAAAAAAAGATCCTAGAATTGGGATAGTGGGAGTCACGAGGACAGTCATTACTCGCTATAGATAGCTGGCATTCTGGGTTTTGGGAATCAACAAGACAGATAGATTCCCCACCCACGAAATTTAATATTTTCCCATCATTTCTGTTTTTCCATAGTATCGTTTTAAGGTATTAAGAACCATAAATATGCAACTTGCTATTATATGTAGTAAAGCACTTAGCCTTTTCTTCGTTCTACTTGTGTCTCCGGGTTCTCAACTAGTTCCGCATTAAAATTACCTACCGAAGCCAAGGAATTCGAGCATCACCAGAAGTCGAACAAAGAGAAGAACTTGGCCTCATCAATCAAATACACACTTTCAATTCAAACACAAAAAGCACCATAATCTTGTTAAGAGAGTGCTCAAAACAAAGATAAATTACTCAGCATTGTGCTATGTTGGACTGTAACAATACCATTAGCTTTGTAATAGCAAGAATTAGGTAGCACATTGTAAAGTAGGAAGACCTGAACGGGAATGTATAAAAATGGAAATAATATATCAACTTGTTTGTACGAATAATATTCGAAGAAGAAAATCTCAGTTAATCTAGAATTGTATTGTCTACAGCTTTGATAAATCAGTAGGATAAAAATATTATATAAATAAAAACCAAAATTTCCAACAATCTGCAGCTGCTTGAGAAAATTTCCACCCCATTTAAAAAAGAAGACCTTCAAGCCTATAAGAAGATTGGCCATAAACAGAAGTTGCAGAAATACACATTGGTCTGGTCGTTAAACTGTTCGGTGCTCATTATATCCCAACATCACCAATGACACATGCTTCCTCCGATAATCTGAAGCTTAAACAATACATTGCCTGCAGAGAATGAAAGAAAATCAAAATCATAGATTTTGACTTCACGCGTGATGCAAATAGATGGCTCTGAGTCAACGAGGTATTGTTGCAGCTAGTACCTTGTTTGGAGCAACATCTCTGACCCGAAAAAACACTGGGTCTTGTATACTAGCACCCAATGCAGTCTCTGCTTCCTATACACCAGTAAACCTCAGTTTAGATGCAACACACACAAGAAAAATGATGAACACTCTTATGGTGAAACAGCATTATGAAATTCATAAAGGATGTGAAACATGACCAAGTGGGAGATAGACGTGAATGATCTCTTGGTGTCCTACTGGCTACTACACCCAATCCCCAGCATTATGAAGCTTTATTTAAACACATTGCTTTGGTTTGGTGAATAGTATAATATGAAATCTATTAAGTTACTTGTGTATGTAAATAATCAAATGACAAAATAATATTCATGTAGCTTACATGCTTGCATCTAGTTGAAGTGTCTTGGATAAAGATAAACAGAAGTGACAGGTGTCTCGTGTGAATTTTCATAATTAGTTTTTAAACCCATCATCGTTTTGCTTTTTGACTGCAGTGCCATGTGAATATCTAAATAACAAAGCAAAAGATGATTGAGGTCATCCTTTGCTAAAAGCCAACAAACGTAAACAAGATGAGTGCTTTAATGGAATAAACAAGAAGGATGTATTCCCAACTGCCCAAATGGAAATCAGTTTTGGTTTCCAATAGGTGGCTTTAAAAAGTAATGAATTTAGATAGCCAAAACTACCGTAGGAGAGTTTTAATTGTTTCACAAAGTGTTGGTTTCAGATGTGTGCTAATTATCTAAATTTGAGAATGACCTATTTCAGTTTTCGAAATCCTTCATGGCCTTTGGTTCTTGAGAACAAACCCAAAGAATAACGCAATGCAATTCAGCATTGGTTAAAAAAACATGTTTTCAATTTGCAGAAAAAACCCTGCCTAGACAAGTTCTTGTAGGTAATTATTTCGATAACGTTGCCCAAACAAAAATTCAAGTATGGAACTCTCTCAGGAATAAGTCATGCAAAATAAGCTCACATATGGACTCAGCATGTTGACGGTGTCATCAGCTCAAGATGCTAGTCAGGGAAATCAACAAACAATATTGGATAAAACATTTAATATGTGCCACCGCTGCATCAGCCAACAGCACAACCTCCCCCACCATACGACCCCTCCATTTCTCAAAAGCAAAGGCAAAATAAACAAGAAGTTACTTACTGATACTATATATTCCTTCGTCTCAGTTGATCGCATGAAGCAATAACAGTGAATCCAAGGCAGAGATCCTTTCCAATATCTCATCTGGATAAGGTCTCTAAAGGCATCTGCAAGACGAAATTCCAAGCATGAAGATCAGACCTTAACTCAGAGACCAAATATGCAACATGGGCTACCTCAATGTTAGCAGACAAGGAATTAACATGGAACCATGGAGATTTACTATGGCAGTGAAGTAATCATCAACAAAGTACCGGAAATTTAAAAAGACAGCAGAAAAGGCTAAATTTGCAACTAGATGAACCTCAAAAATATCTAGCCTATGATAAATTTCACCGCATTCCAGGAAAGTAAGCTGTTTGCCAGTCAATTACTAATGAAATTTCAATGGGCTTATTCTATAATGTATACTGTTTACAGTAGATACCATGTAAGAGTGCATCCGGAAATGCATATTTCCCCAAAGTTACAAAATATTGGAAGATGTGTAATTGTCTAAAGCAAGCTCTGACAACACAATACATAACTAGAAAGAAAAGTACTGATGAAGTTCAAACAACTATAAATCTACAACACAAAAGTCAAAAGGATAATAAGATGTTATAGATTCCGCATTTTATATAAGATAAGTATGAGAAATGATTAACTGGAATCATTAATTTTACCATTCAAATTTAAACTGTTAAAAAAAGGCTGGGGTAACTGATCATCCGTCGATAATCAGAATAATGGTAGCCAGCAAGAGACAACTAAATTATAGTAGTAAGCAATTACATGTAAGGATCTCAAGAAAGAAAGTGGAGCAGCAAGAGGATGGAAAGTTTACCAAGAAACTGTAAAGCAGAAGCTGGTAGATTCATAATGACATGATCAATATGCTCCAAAGGCCTTGTACTGAAAGAAACACAGCCTCTCAAGCGCTTATTTATGCCCTGTTTCTTCTGACCACTCACACCAGTACTTGCACATTCAGCCATTCCATTTTCTGCAGTGGGCAACATAGCAAAATGAGTCCTGTGCATAAGAATACATTGGAGTCCATTATTAAATACTGCGAATATAAATATCATGAATAACAACATAAATAATTGCAGTAACATCTCTAAGTATTTCGGAAATTGAAAGATCTCTCCTATATATGTGTACCACATCCTACCTTCAAGTGGACTTCCAGGACGCCTTTTTGCAGTGGTTAAATTTGAACCCTTCTTCATACATAAATGTCCTATACTCTCAGAATTATTTAAATTCTCTTCTGCTATTTCTTCCACCTTGTCTTCAGGGAATATTAAGTTTTAGTTAAAGATTGATTGATTGTAATTGAAATGAATGCAGCACAGCCAAGGATAACAAATTACCAGTTAGACAACTGTCTTCAAAGTGTGTTTGCCTATTTTCATTCGTGTCCCATTTCTCACAAGACTTTGAGATGACTTCATCTGAAAGGGATTCACCTTCACTTGATGGTGCAACCAACAGCTCAGCAATAAATTCTCGTGCATCCTTATTGTATGCATGAATTAGATTATCAACCTTGTTGATTTCTGCATTAATTTTCAGATAGCGAACACTATCTGGATTCAAATCGTTTGCATATACTACACATCCTTTCTGTGCTGCAGGAATTGCGAATGGACCGATCCCAGCAAACATATCACAAATAATATCCCCCGCCCGGAATTTCGAAATCAGCCTCAGATGCTCGTGTTCCAATCTTGAATTCCAATAGACAGAACTATAATCAAGTTTGAATGTTGCACCATACTGCTTCAC